TAGTGCAGTTTCACATTACAAGAAGTCGCACTGACGCATCCTACAAAGTCGTTGTAATTATTTCTTAGATTGCTCTACACATTACATAAATAAAGGCATACAGATATCGATTGTAAATAAAGCGAATCACATTTAGATACAAGATATCACGTCTTGAATAAACACGGTTGTCGCTAGGTTTGATTGATAGTCTACCAGCCTGCCACTTCTTAGATATAATTTTATATGCCGTTCGTGAAAGTATGTGTTTTGTTTAGCGCAATAAAATACGCAATGAAGGAATTCCCTTTATATGACCCATAATCGAAATTAATCTGATTTACATCATTGTACAAAAAAGTATGATTGACTCTTTGTCCGATTGACGTGAGGGTAATGTGATAACTAAGGTCTTCATACGAGTCCACGCTGTTTATATGTATTTGAATTAAATTCTGACCAGTGTTTCTAAGCCTATTTTGGTGAGGGAATTGTAATTTATTTAAGCGTTAGAGAATTAGCAAGTGTTTAAAATTAATAAAACCAATTAAAAGAATAGTAGCAGATTAGTTTATGTAATGTAAATAACTATAAGAGGATGAAATCTTTACAATTCATAAAAATGTATACAAAGAAATTATAAATGTTTCATTGAACATTAATCATTTGATCTGATAATATACCCGTATGTCGAATTGTTATAGGGGCTTAATAAAATGTGAATATAGGAATATACGTACCTCATTATTGACCATTTATTAAGATATTAAATCCTATTTAGTTTCCCTATTTTACTCTTGTGTACCATACGTACATTAAAAATATAATTATTAACAAAATTAGGAGTAAAATGAATTGTGATATTGTAACAGATTGGTTATGAAATAATTTTTATGGTGAAGTTATAACTAGTCATTTACGATGGTATACGTTATTTCTTGTTCACCCACTCAGTACAGCATTCATTGCGATCACATCGTGTTGTTGCGATCGAGTTTGCTTCGAGAACATAACTTTCTAGTGACTCATAGGAAGAGAGCTATCTCGCGCAGACGCTCTCAATAAGGAAGAGGGTAATAAACAAATTCATCTCTCCCATCTTATGCGGCTTCGGAGCCCGTTAAATGCACAATACTGCACTTTATATACCGTAGTAGGAGGCCCACATCTCGAGGGGCAGAAGCTAATTTTAGCATCTAAATTGATACGCCCAACAAAGGCGAGGATGTGAGCAATTAACACGCACTTTCGTTGCAACTACGCCACTGTCACTACTTGATATGAATCCTGCTTCATTTTATATTTATTAAAGTTTGTGATCACTACTGAGATCTATCGATCATTTTTAACGGAAAATAAAAAATCTATCGTTACATGTAATGAAATCTGAATGCGACCAAAAAAAACTGTTCTTGCTAATTAACTTCACAGCATACCAACGAAGTAATCATCTGCAATTTTCTTTATTTAATCATTGTTTTGGTATACAGTAGGACGACCGAACTATTATTAACAATAAAACAGTATATTCAAGACACGGTTATTACTGAGCGGTGTTACGATACGTTACGGCAATTACGATAATACTAGAGCAAAGATACAGTAACAAAAAACAGGTCCACAATTCGGTACATTTCCCATCTCGGCCGTTCAATTAACTCTCCGGGCGTAAGTAAGCTCCGCACAAGGGCGTGAGTATCTCGATTGTTCTCAGAAGTCTACTGACAACGACGTGACCTAATTGAATATAATGCGCCTTTATACATCGCGACGATCCCTTCGAGAGCTCATACAAAAAGCCTGCACCATGCGCACCCATCGATCCTTAATAAGATGAATTTCATTTTATAACTGTTACATATCATTATTTTAATAGCCCTATAAAACAAGGAGGCCCTTGTGTGAGTTTTACAACCGATAACACTGGCTGATTGTTTAGATATTTTCTTCGTGTTTACGTTGTTTCTATTTTAAGTTACATTACGACTTACAAGGCGTCGTATGTTGACCGGCGCGACTCAAGTTAACGCTCTCTACTGCATGTACACTTACATGAATGATCGTTATAAGCCGTCGAAGTCACGGTCACAACGTATCGGCGACGGCGACTACTACGCTAGACAGGTATTTATTTCTAACGTCTTACGTTCAATGTCTTGCATAATGGTTATTTAATTATGGGTCAATAGACTCGCACTGAGATTTCTTACACTCGTAAGTCATGAATGTACGTTTGTTTTGACTTTAACTAACGATTTATCAAAATAAATCATGTTGAAGTTGTTAAACTAGTAATTCCATACTCAATCAATCACAAAATGCAAAAATTCTATTAGACAACAACCGATTCAGGTTTGTATCTCGGAAACTCAATGTTAGTAGAGGATATAAGAAATATCCAATAAGGAGTAAGTTCGACAATCTGGAATGTATCTGAGAAGCGGACAGTTTGCGCGCAGGCCGGATCATATTTTCGCGGCAGCTGGTGCCGTGTATGTCGCGGTCATTTACATAGTAAGTCGGCGATAAGCGAGCTAAATTTAGCGCGAGCGGGGATGCGCCCTGAGGCCTGCGCCCTGCGCTCGCCGCCACCTCGCCTGACACCTACGCACCGGCACTGCTTCCACTCCCCAC